ACTGATGGTGCAAAGGCCCACTGGAGGTCAGTGACATGGTCAATGAGTGGCCTTGATGACCCTAGTGACAGCTGTGTCAGAAACAGTGACGGAAGCCTGGAGACCAAGCTGAAAGCGACAGTCGTGAAGGAATGGGTGGCAGTATGTGTGTTACTTCGGGAAAATGGCAATAGAAAGAATGAAAGAACGAAACACAATGGTAGCTGAAAAAGGCAGGAGGATCAAATAAAGGATGTCCCCCCACTCCAAGATAGGAAGGGCCTGTGTGTACTTCATAAATGGAAAGAGAAAAAAAAAACGAGTAGAGAGATGTATGCTTTGGCATGAGGGTCAGGATAATTAGACAAGGTACATAGACAAGGTTCTAGGAGAGACGGGAAGAGAATGGGACTGAGAGCAAAACAGAGTTTGGCCTTTGAACAAAGGAAGAGTCAGACCTCTGCAAATAAGTCTCTGTTCTTGTCATTTCCTCTACCTCATATTCATGCCTAACATTTGTTTATATAGTGTGCAACTACAAGTCCACAGCTGTACTCACAGCTGCTCTCAAGTTAGATCTTTCTTCATCATCTCCATTTATTGACCACATGCCAGGCAATTTAGATGTTATCTCATGAAAAGGGTACAATTCTCATTCCCATCTTCCAGATGAGAAACTGAGGTTAACAATGTAATCAATCCACTTGACTAGGTTTACCCAGCTGGTAAATGGGAGAACTACGTTGGAAGCCGGACAGTGCAATTCTAGAACCTGTGCTCCACTGTGCTCCTTCCTGAAACTTCAAAGAGTTGAAAATGGATGCCTCTAAGGAGCAGGACTAGAGTAGACAGCTGTGTGCAGTAGGGGTGTGCTGTAGTTTGTTATAAGCCTTGTAGTACTATTTGACCTTTTACTAGAGTAGGTGCTCTCTTAACCAACCATTACTTAACCAAGGGGTAAAATCCCCAGAGCCTGGCATGCTCCCTCCTCTCCATAACTCCCATCACATGTAGGTATAAACTGTTTGACCACTTGACCAACCACATGTCCAGATCCTATTGGGTGGCAGACTTTTTATGACATGTTCATTTTAACACTAAAAAACAAAACACTTGTACAAGGGACTTGCATTTTTATGATAAAAAAAAAAAGCCCCACTAATAAAAAGCAAAAAGAACCCATACCAGTGCTGAGCTCATGACTCAGCCTCCTCAGGGATGAAGGTGAGGTCACTGGCTAGATGGGACAAGGTGAAAATAAGGACTAGATCTCGTCAGTCCATCGCCCACTCAGCAGCCAATAACCTTTTCAGGATCCCTGCAGCCTGATCAAGTTCCAGCTTCCTTTTTTGATGTCCCTACCCTCAGGACAGAGCCCAGACATCTTGGGGTGCTTACAAGATGTTACAACCTGGCCCTATTTACCTCTCCAAACTAAGGAGCTACCACTACCCAATACCACTCCCACCCCTTTGACAACCACCCTGATCTTAAATTGTACTCTTTCCCTGGGAATGTGCACCAGCCACTTCCCCTGCCTGAATTGTGTTTTCCCTTCCCCACCCTCATCTGGCTGGTTCCCAGTCCTCGTCACTTAGGTTCATCAATTTAGATGTTGCTGCCTTCAGGAAGTCTTCCGAGGACTTCCACACTTAGGTCTGAACCTCTCCTAGGTGTTTCCATAGCATCCTCTATTTTTCCCACTGAGGCACTTGCTAGTCTCCAAAGGGCTCTTCAACACTATCCAAGCCCTTGGGCCTTCCCCTCCCAAACTGACTGTGGGCTGATCCTATGAATTGCTTTAACGCACAGAGTGCAGGGGTGAAGAACTGTCCACACGGGTGGGTTCCAGGCCTAAGCCTTCAGAAGCCTGGCAACTTCCACTTTTGTGCTTGGAGAAACTCTGAGCCACTGTTCAGGAAGGTTCATTACCCAGCTGGAGAGGGCATGTTGAGCATGGCAAAGAGGCTCAGCCTTCCCGATGTCCCAGGTGAGCCTTCATGTGACTCCAGCCTCAGCTGTCATCTGACAGCAATCTCATGAGACCCCAAGAGAGACCGGCAGGATTGCCCAGCTGAGTCCAGTCAATTCACATTAGTATGAGAGAGAACGATTGTATAAGGCCATTAAATTTTGGAGAGTTTGCTGAGCCACAGTAACAAAAACACCATCCTGTATTTTAATTGTCTACAGTTTGTTTGCCCTGCTAGACTGTTTTCTCTGAGGACAGGGATCACACTCATTTTTTTAAAAAACTGTTATATAGCTTCATTATATCTCTCTCTCCATGCATGTCTATCGTCACAGCAGCGCACGGTGTCCAGTCAGGTCAACGGGCATTGTCTGAACATCTTCTGCGGACAGTTTCTGTCAAGCCCAATGTGGGACACAAAATGGGAAAATGCCATCCGTGCCCTGAGGGAGAGAACTGGAGAGACTAGACTTACACAAATGAGATAATTAAATAACAGGACAACATATAATTACTGCTAAACTGTATGGTAAGAAATTAAGTGCTTACAGAAATTGGAAAAAGTGGAGAGCAGTGAGGGCTCCCATAGTTGGGGAGCTGTCACTTAAGTGCTGGATGTGGCTGAACCTTGAGGGATAAAACGAACTGCAGACAGGCTGAAATGAAGAAGAGTGCAGAAGTCCCAGGAGGGACAGAGCCGAACCAGTACGCTTATTTTATTTGGAGGCAGCAGCACAAGGTATGTGAAAAGTGGATGCCCCAAATCCCAAAGCAAGGATATTTCTGAATAGTTCCCTAATAGTCACATTTCTGGGCCTGTATTTATTGTTTCTTCTGAGTGCAACGCCTTTCTCCCTTCTCCACCCAACAAACTCTTACTCACATTTAAAGGTCCAGCTCAAATGCAACTACTTTTAAAAAATCTTCCCATGGTATCCCATAACCCAGGGCTCATGCTTCTATTGGAACATACCTACTTCTTTTGCCTACTCACCACCCCCACCTCCCAATACCATAGCACTTACTGGGTTCTTACTATGTGCCAGAACTATGCTAAGCATTTTAAATGTACTATTTTACTTAAACCTCACAATTACAGCATGAGATATTGTTTTTCCAATTTTAGAGCTAAAAACCCTGAGGCTTAAAGTGGATAAGCACACTGCCCAAGAACACAGCTGGGAGGTAGAAAGCTGAGATTCAATGTAACTCCAGAGGCTACTCTGAAAACACTGGACCATGTGTTCCTGGAGGCCACACATACTCTTTCCTCTGTCTGCTCAGATTCCAGGATGGTGGCTGACATATGGCTCAAAAATTGAACAAATTAGTACATCTGTCTGGTGGTATTAGTTGCCTATCTAAAAGCAGTACTCCCCAGCACTATTTTACCCTGGGTGGAGACTTCCACCTACCCAGAAGTCGGTACCTGGGGGAAAGGAAGTCTAAACACCGTATATTTGAACTTGAACTCTTTTATTTTATCGATTCAAGTGCAGTTAAAGAGGAATCATTCTTTTCCCAGCAATGACCTTAGCTGGGTCTGAAGATAAGGGTTATGATTAACAGGTATGTGTATACAGGGGTAGGTGGGTGGAAAAGCATTTCTCCTCTTAGGTATTTTAAAAGCAGAAACTCAGGTTGTTTTTGTCCAGCAGCTACCAGAAGGGATCACGCCCAGAACAGGTCCTCCGGGGGCCAGCTGGTAGTGTGTGGGTTCAAGTCCAGTGATTTTGAGAGTCCATTTATTAAAGCTGAGGACAGTGAAAGAAGGGCCTAGGATAGAAGGGCCTGCTTTGGCTCTCTTAGAAACGTTACAGGAAAGCAGTGAGCGGAGGCCAGCCTGCTGTCAGCTCACTGGAAAGTCAGAAAAAAGGGGGTCTTGGAGACAGATTGAGGGGGTTAACCCTGGACAAACTGCCGCTTCCCAGTGCTCTCCTGGTTGCAAGTTTCATGGGTATCTTAGAGTTTAGGAGAGAGAAAACTCACTGAAGAGGAGATCTGAGTGGAAGTGCCCCAAGGAGGGCGTGTGTCGGCTGACTTCTTTGTCTTGTGGGGTTTTACCTGCTTTCTAAAGGCAGAGATTTTAGGGGCCATCTCAGGGAAGGATCTCAGTACAATGTTCTTCAGCTTTTCCAGGTGTATCTTTTCAGGGTCACGGTCTGCACTGACTGGTCAGTGCTAGTGAGGTCCCAGTGTCATCCACCTGGTTTTGCTGCTTTTCTGGGCCTGGAGATTTTTATCTCTAGGGAGGAAAGGTCAGAGCACCCCAAACACCAGCCATATGAAAGGTCAGGGCATCTAAACCCTACGAGCAGTGATATGCCAGGGGAGGAAAGGCCATCCTGGGAGAGGTCCAGCACCAGTTTTGCCAGTTGCTAGGCACCCAGGGCTTTCCACCCTGTGACTTCTTAGCTAGCTATAAATTGCTCTGCCAGTTCAGCTGTCTGTCTCAGTTTTCCCATTCCATTTGCTGAAATTTTCCTAGGTTCTTACTATCCTGCCTCCAAACCAGTTAAGACCAGTCAACATCACTCTATCTGACCCTCTCATGACGCAGACTCAGGCCCAGACAGTGGACGGGCTGGCCAGCGGCTACACGGTGAAACAAAAGCTGAGCGGAGCTGCAATCCCAGAATCCGAACCCTGTCTGTACAGTTCTTCATTGCCTAGGGAGGCAGCCCAGGCCCACCTCCCAAGCAGAAGCCGGCCTACGGAATTCCTTCGTGGGATCCTAAGGCTCCTCTCCTCCGCCCAATGGGTGTCGTTACTCCCACCTCCTCCATAATCGGGACCCGGGGAAGACTTCCCCTGCCGCTTCCCCACTGTGTCCGTTAGGTCCTCTTGCGCCACCGAGGCCACTCTAGCCCCGCTTCTCAGGCGGTTCCGCTTCGCCACCTGCGATCACCCGGCCTCTGCACCGTCTCCGCAGTTCTCGCCCTTGCCGCAGTTCACCTCCCGCTGGCCCAAAACAGGCCCACACCCCCACTTCCTTTCGCGGAGCGCCGTTCTTCCGGCAGAGCTCCTTCCTAATTGGCTGGCCGAGAGGGGCCTTGCGGTTCGCCCATCCGGAGGGCGCCACAGCGGTCGCTCTAGCCGCTCTCCCGTGGTTTGGCCTCGCTCTTTTGGCTGCGAGCCTCTATGGTGTTAGCGAGGACATGTGGCGCCTTTCGGGACTCCTAAGCCGAAGTGAGGGGCGTTCGAGCCGCGCGTCTAGAGGCAGCGGAGACAGAATTGGAGGAGGGGGCGGGCGGAAGGAAAGAGCCGAGGCCTTGGTGCGCGGAGTTAGAGCTGAGGGAAAGGCGGGTCCTAAAGGGGCGGGGCTATACACCAGCAGACGGGCCGTTGGAATTAGAGGTGTGGGGGCGCTAATGGGAAGAGGGTAGTTTATTGCAAGGGGGAGGGGCCAAATAACAGGAGCTGGTGGGTGGAGTCAATGAAAGAGTGGAGCCGATGGAGTAGGCAGTGACAATGAAAAGAAGCGGGATTTAGAGACAAAGTGCTTCAAATATTGAACTGGGGTTTGTCTCTAAATGCCTGGTTATTCATTTTAGAACAGTGATGGTTAGCCCTACGAGGGATCAGAATCGCCTAGGCAGCTTTTTTCGAAATAGAGATGCTCCACCCGGAACTATCCCGGTTTATTGGTTCTGGGTTGGCACCCTAGAATCTGTAATAGGCAAAAGATTCCCACGTGTTAAGAACCTCTGCAGAGTCAGATGGCAGAGATTCCTGGGTCCCTGAGGTGGGGCTCTGTCAAGTGTCAGGGGAAGACTGATGGGACTGTCTTTACCTCAATCCTGTTTATGTCAAGGTGACTGATTTTTGTTGCTCTGCACAGCTCTTCCCCGTCTGCTAGGACCTGGCCTCACCCCCAAGTCCACCAGCCCAGATGGGTATCAGGCTACCTCCTCAACCCTGCTGGTCTCTGTGCCAAGCTCTGACAGGTAAGATACTGCCATCTGTCACCTGTCTCCTTTCTGGCCCCCCTCTCCCCCACTACTTGGCACAGAACTTAATGGCCTGTATTATATCATCTAGGTCAGGCCCCCATGGTCCAGGTCCAGGCACAAGCAGGGGTCCAAGGTCTCATGGATGGAAGGATGCCTTCCAGTGGATGTCTGGCCGTGTCTCCCCGAACACTTTGTGGGATGCCGTATCTTGGGTAAGGCTTACTCAGCCCTGTCCTTGATCTTCATTGTGGATAAGAATGATCCTGCATGAAAGTAGAGTCTAGAAACAAGAGCTAGGGCATCATTGCACCCACCCTCAAATTTTGAGTGACCTATGGCATTGGAGCATATTTAAGGAGATAGAGCCACTTCCCATCCCCTGCCCTCCATGTATTCCTTTTATTCAGTAAACGTTTATTTAACACCCCTCTGAGCCAGGCATTTTTGCTAGGCACCAGGGAAATAGCAAAGAACAAGGTAGATATGATTTTTGCCTTCATGGAGCTTACAATAAATAGTGCTAAATAGCTAATATTTTATTTGTTAATGTAAAGTACATTATCTTCTGTAATCCCTACCAAAGTCTTATAAGGGAAATATTTCCACTTTATAGATGAGGAAACTTAGGCTTTGAAACTTTAGGTGACATGCTTAAGGTCAACAGCTCTTGAGTTGAGGAGCCAGATTTTACTCTGAAGCTCATACTCTTACCTTCCACGCTCTATAGCTTCGTTGCTGCACTGAGTGTGGCTTGTAAAAGCACCTAGTACAGAACCTGACCCCATAATAGTTGCACATTAAATATTTGCAGAATTTGATCTATATATACAGTCAGATGTTCAATCTAATAGAGCAGAATCTTTGCCTCATAAGGTATTCTTATAAGAATACCTGTTGTGCTTATAAGGTATTCTGGATGAAGTTGGCACACACATCACTCTGGTGTCTGTCACATCTCACCTCCATCACTTCTATGCTACGTACTTGGGCAAGCGACTTGACCTCTCTGAGTCTCAGTTGTCTCATCTGTAAATGGGTGCCAACAGGAGAGCTGAGCCTGTGGGGTGTCACCGTGATAGGGGCACTTCTGTCTCAGGAGCTGTAGACTAGAGGCTTAACACACCTTGGAGAGGAGAGCATTTTCCCGTTTTGTCCAAGATCCAGACCCTAGGGCAATCCCACAGCGAGTCCTTTTGGAAACCAGACCTGGATCCCAGGGGCCTCGATGCCATCCTTCTTCTCTGTCCCGACTGCCCATGCAAAAGGGCCTGAGCACAAGCTGTCCCCAGGGAGCTGGCCTCAGCTCACACATCATCCTACTAGAGAGGGTTTCCCTGATTCCTCGTCTTGTCAAGCCTCCTCCTTACATTCCATGCAAACTCTGATTTGTATTCTTTTTGGCATTTAGCATGACTTGTAGTTATTGTATTTATTTCTCCGTGTACTATGGATTTTTGTCTTCCTCAGCGAAGATATAAAACTCCACAAGGGCTGAAACTGTGTCTGTCTTGTTTGTCATTGAACCCAGTGCACTTTGCAACAGGAAGGGACAGGGAAAACCAAGCAGTCACTGGGCTAGGAGCTAGCTTAGGTGTTCTGCAGACCTGTTGAAGAAAAGACACCTTCAGTAAGCCTGTACCTGTGCATGTGGGTGTGGTGGGGTGGCTTGGTCAGGGTCGGGGGGAAGGGAGGAGTTCTGCTAGGTTCGAGGAAGAGAGTGAGCCTTGTGGGGAACTCTGACCTATTGCTACATTTGTGGCAAAGCCCCAACTTACCACATTATCTTTTTGCCCGCGTAGATGACATATTCAGTAACTCACATATGTGTTTATTCAGGGTGTGTATTTTAGCACTCTTCTGGGTGCCAGGGATACATTAGTGTGAAAAACAAACATGGTTCCTGCCCTCATTGTGCTTTAAGACTAACAGGAGAGTCAGACCTTAATGAAATAATTGTAGAGACGATTACTTAAGTACCACTGTGATCAGAGTTCCAGAGTGTGAGGGTATGGAGTGGAGGATCTGGCCCAACCAGGAGTCAGGAAAGGCTTCTAGAAGCGATGTTTGAGCTGAAGGCAGAGGCTGTAGGAGCTGGCCGGTGGAGCGCTGCGTGCCTGACGTGCTGTCTTTCCCAGGGCACTCTGGCTGTGCTGGCCCTGCAGCTGGCGAGGCAGATCCACTTCCAGGTGTCCCTGCCAACACGACCTCGGCGAGCAGAGCGCAGCTCTTGGTGCAGTCCCCTGGACTGTTTCCTCTCATCTCCCTTGTGGCATCCATGCTCCTGTGAGTTCTCAGTCCCCGGGATAGGAGGGCTGGGCTGGGCATGTCTCTGGACCAGGAAGCATCTCCGGACACACCTCTGGAAAAGAACCGTCTGCAGCAGCTCCTTGCCTTTCCTATCTGAAGCCCGAGGAAGGGGAATGTGAGGAAGTGCCACCCACCCAGGGTGTGGGCCACACCAACCCTTCAACGTCCTCCCATGTCCTCCCATCACCTTTCATGGAGGGAGCCCCACAGGGATGCAGGATACTTTAGATCCTGGGTGTGGCTTCCTGCCTACCCCTCAGCCAGTTAGTTCATTCTCTGTTCAGTCATTCATTGATAAATGACTCTTGAGGAGCTACTATGTGCCATGGTACAGAGGCAATGAGCTGATTGGTTAAAGCTCTGGAGTCACTCTGTTGGGGTTCAAGCCCCAGAGCTGCTGTATACTAGCCTTGTGTCCCTGGATGAGTCTCTTTAAACTTCCCTATGCCTCAGTTTCTTCAACTGTAAAATGGGGTAATAATAAACCCCACCTCATAGGTTTCTTGGGAGGACTAAATGAATTAATATATGTCAAGGACGTATGTGTCTGGCACATAGAAAGTACTCTGTAAGTATTAGTTTAAGTTCTTGTCCTTTTTGTTATGATACAATCATTACTAATTAATATTACCATCAAAGTGTTAGGTGCTGGGGCTACAACAGTGAGTAAATAAAGCAGATACTGCTTCATGCAGAAGAGTGACTAATGCTTAGGGCAGGCGGTGAGCGTAAATGTGGTCCCCTCTAAACCCCTGCAGAGGGAAGCCAGCGAAGGAGATGGAGGAGGAGGGGTGTGGAAGAGTTGTCACAGGAGTTTCCAAATTCTTCTTTGGCCCCCAAAACATCAGGGAGGACTCAATCAAGCCTGAGCAGGCTGTCCCGATCCCCTTCTCATGTGACTGCTGTTGCTGGCTCTTTCCAGCGCTGCGGAGGCACATTCTCCCCGGGGCGGACAGCCCAGCTCCCAGGCACCCTGGCCTCAGGGAACCCAGACTGGGCCAGGAGGAACCCTCCACTCAGCCCCAGAGCCGCTCCTCACACGGCTCCTTGAGGACAGCTGGTCTGCAGGATCTCTCTGAGGAAGGTATGTCCCCACCTCCCAGAATCAACAGAAGGCAGCGGTGGGAGGGTGGGGAGCGAACACTTCTTGCTGGATGTGCCAGGTAAGGAGCTTGTCATTCCTCTGAGGCCCATGCTTCCGGGGGTAGTTCAGAATTATTGCAGTTCCTCCCAGTGGTGCTGGATGGAGAGCTGGGAGACTGGGAAAGTGGGGGAGAATGAGAAATAACACTTTCTCCTGTGCCCTGGCTGGGTGTTGGCCATTTCCCTGCAGATCCCAGTGAGACCGGCTTCCTGTATGCCAGCAGTAGCTTCAACTCCAAGGCAAAACCAGCACAGCCTCACCCCACTGGTGAAAAGCAGGTATTGTCCAGATTGGCCACCTGGATCTTTATAACATTGCCCTGGGCAGATGGAATTCCAGTGAACCGTCCCATGATGAGTCTTTATATTTCTTCCCCAGGAACAAGATAAGTCAAAAACGCTTTCTCTGGAGGAGGCTGTGACTTCTCTTCAGCAGCTCTTCCAACTCAGTGTTTCCATCGCTTACAACTTCCTGGGTAAATGTGTGGGCCCTGCCTCAAGGCAGGCAGATGGGAGAATGGAAGGGGTATGGAAAAGGTCAAATAGAGTCAGGGTAGGGAGTGATTCAAACCAGAGATAGTTTATTTTCTCTCAAGTAGGTGGACAAATCTAGCATGGTGGCACAGTGGTGTTGGGGACCCATTCTCATTCAAACCTTCCTGCCATTCTTAACACTGGCTCCCACCTTGAGGTCCTGTTTGGCTGTTTTAACTCCTGCCCTCATATCCGCACTCTAGGCAGCTGAAGGGGAGAGGTGGGAAAGCTAAAGGGCCATTCCTTCCCTTTAAGGACATCACCTAGAAGTTGCACAAATCTTCATCCAGAATGTGGACCTACGGCCGCTCCTGGTTGCAGAGGAGGGTGGGAAATGTAGTCTTTAGATGAATGACCGTGTGCCTATGTGAAAATTCTGTTACTATGTAAGAAGGAGAAAGTAAATCTTGGAGGCCCTCTTGCATTCTCTGTCACACACAGGCAAGATCAGGTTTGTAACAGGCTCTCAAGGGCACCAACAGGAACTTCTCACCCACATCTGGAGACTCCAGATGGCCCTCCACTACTCGTCCTGGTTAAGTTTCAGGCCTTCTAATGTGGAGACTCATGCTCCTAGCAGCGTCTATTAGAGTTTAGTGAGCAGGTGGGTGAAAGGCTGGGATTCATTCAGAACAAATTTATTGAGCTCTCACCTTTTGCTCAGCCCTATTTTAGGTGTTGGGGATATAGTGTTCCAAAGACAAAGTCTTTACTCATGGAACTAACGTGTGAGCTGAGGGAGAGAAAAACAATAAATTGGCAAAGAGAATTTCAGATGGTGGGAACTGTTATGGAGAAAGTTAAACAGAAACAACTTTTGATTTAAAAGGCCTTGTGGATGGGACGATCCTTGAGCTAAGACCTGATTAACAAGAATAAGCCAGTCTTGTTTCCATCTGGAGAAAGAGCTTTTCAAGTAGCGGGAACAGCAGGTGCAAAGGTCCTGAGGCAGGGTGTTAGAGGAACAGAAGAAAGGTAAGTGTGTGTGGAGCTTGGAGATCACTGGGAGAGTGAAGTCAGAGAACAGGCAGAAGCCAGATGGTGAGGTTTTCTGAGCCATGGTACAGTGGATGTTCTAAGTGAGGCAGGAAGCCATTAGAGGGCTTTACACTGGAGCAGGAAGAGGAGCAGTCACACTATCTGATTTACTTTCTTCAAGATCTCTCTGGCCATTGAGGGGACAGGTATGAATTATAGGGGTTCCACAGAGGGAACAGGAGACTGGGCTGAGTTGTTACTGATGACTAAGCAAAATGTGGTGGTGGTTTGGTCTAGGTTAGAGGCAGAGGAGACTGAGAAGAATAGATGGATGAGGGGGTGCTGACAGCCAGTGTGGGGAAGCGGGACAGGGTGGGATCTTGTGCCCTTTCGGTCTTCTCCTCAAGGACGAGAGGGCTCTGCGAATCAGGACGGAGAGTTTTCAGACAGCAGGGAGGCGACTTTAGTTCCTGCTGCCTGAATACAACCTGGCTTCTACCTTATTAGCTTTTTGTGATTTAGATGTGCAGATAGTCTCTTCTGAGAATTTTCTTGCCCATTCCTTCATTCATATATTCATTTATTCAGCAAGTGCTAAGCACTGTGACAGAACACAAAAGGAGCATAAGCCATAACCGTATTTTGCATTTCTATAGAGCTTTCTCGCTATGTAAAGTCATTTCTTCTATATTCTTTTTCTGCTTCTGCCTCCAGGATTTTACAGTCTAATTGAGGAGAAAGGGCTTGCACTCTTGAAACAGTTTAGTTCTTAGAAAAAGGCTTGTGTATTAAGTAAATGCCAAAAAAAAAAAAAAGTGTTTAAAGCCCGAGTGTGGTCTGCAGGTTCTCAGGCAGAAACAGGATGTGAAGGTCTGATGGTGGAGGCAGAAAAGATGTGCCAGGTAGAAGAAACAGCTTGGCAAAGGCCTGGAGTTGAGAACTGGCTGTTCCTAGCCCCTCTCCTATTTTCCTTTTTGTTTGGAAGTTCAAAGAATATGGGCTTTGGAGTTAGACACACCTGAGTTCAAGTCTTTTTCTCATATTACCTCTCACAGTGTCTTCATAAAGCAGCATCAACGGTATCAGCTGTGTCAGGTTGTGTTGGTTACAAGCAGCCTGAATCCAGTCTGGCTAACTTAAACACAGAAGGAATCTATTGGGATCTGTTGACCTGCCAAGCTTCGGGAAGGGCAGGAGTCAGGGAAGTCCCAGGGACCCAGGGTGCAGTAACTGATAGTGCTGTCCTCAGAATAAACCTGCAAAAGCTGTTTTCTCTCCCGTGGAAAGGAGATCAAGAGTCAGATTCCCGAGGGGAGGGTCTCATTGGCTGGGAAAAGAGGAGGCACATTGATTGACAGCTCTGGGGAAAGGGCTGTTCTCAAGGGGAAGTCAGGACATTACTACCAAGAGGAGGATGGTATAGACTAGGGCAGAACCCACTGATACGTATGGCAAGCCAGTGAAATATTCAGAGGATGGAGATACACGCAAATTGTCCAGCACAAAAAAAAGAAAGGAGGAAGCCTGTGGGTACCTGGCTGCAGATGTAGGGAAGTTTCCAGAGGAAGCTGGGAGTGTTTACACCCTGTGCCTTCTTACAGGGACAGAGAACATGAGGAATGGGGACTACGTGGCGGCCTTTTCCTACTTCCAGAAAGGCGCAGAACACGGCTACAGCAAAGCACAGTACAACGAGGGCTTATGTCATGAGTATGGCAGAGGCACCCCCAGGGACCTCGACAAGGTGCCGCACCTCCTCCCCTGCCCCCACACCCATCCCCTGTGCTGCAAGCCCAGAGTGTCTTCCCGAGTGAGCAGCGGGCGGGGCTTGGGAAAGCCCAGTCTCACTTGCAGCTGTGAGGGAAACACTTTAAAAGCTCTTAATGCTCTGACTGGTGTTGCTCAGTGGGTTGAGCACCGGCCTATAAAACAAAAGGTCTCACGTTTGATTCCTGGTCAGGGCACATGCCTGGGTTCCGGGCCAGGTCCCCAGCTGGGGGCCTGTGAGAGACAACCCATCTCGATGTTTCTCCTTTCCTTCCCCTCCCTCTGAAAAAATAAATAAAATCTTAAAAAAAAGAAGCAGCAGCAGCTCTTCTAGGAATTTCGACTCTAAGCACAGGCAGGCCAGGGCCCTTGTCTTTCTTCTTTGCAGCTGTATCTTCAGGGCCTAGAATGTCCTGAGTGGGCTAATTAATTATAAAAGAGGCTAAGAGCACAAAGATGTTACATATAAGAATGTATTTCTTAAAATTGTATATGATGGCAAAGGGAAGCAACCTGTGTTTCCTCAATAGAGAATTGGTTAATAACATCTATGTGGGCCTTAAAAATAGTGTGCTAGAGCTGTATTGTTATATGAAAAAAATAGGTCACAAAATAGTGAGTATAGTTCTCTCCCCTATACACATGTACATATTTATGTGTGTATAAAGATATATAATATATGTGTATATATGTGAATATGTATATGAAGAAATTTGTAAGGTTATACACTAAAATGTTAACAATGATCTTTAGGAGGCAGGATTTCTTGGCATTGTATGTTTCTATTTTTCGTTTTATCTGTATTTGAAATTTTTTGGCTTACCTGCATTTTCTTACCAATCTATAATGATTATGTATTATTTAATTAAATACTTTTAAAAAATTTCACTCAAAGGAAAAGCTGGCTGCCAGAGTCACCAGTTGACGGTGTTTCTCCCTTTGCCCCAGGCAGTGCTGTGCTACCAGCTGGCTGCCAGCCAGGGCCACAGCCTGGCTCAGTACCGCTATGCCAGGTGCCTGCTACAAGACGCAGCCTCCTCGTGGGACGCTGAGCGGCAGAGGGCAGTGTCCATGTTGAAGCAGGCTGCAGACGCAGGCTTGAGAGAGGTGTGCGTCATGGTCGGGGGTGAGGGGTCTCTCCTGGGCACATGGGGCCTGGCAGTGACCCAGATATGTTTTTCTTTCCTCTTGACCACAGGCCCAAGCTTTCCTCGGGGTGCTTTTCACCAAGGAGCCGTACCTGAATGAGCAGAGAGCCGTGAAATATCTTTGGCTTGCAGCCAGCAATGGGGTATGTGGTCTCCGGTATCCAGGCAGATTGGGCATCAACTCTGAGAAAGGAAGGGACTCCGGAACTGGCACTGAGTTCTTTTGATAGGAATATTGGGCCAGGTTTAAGCCTTGACTCTCGCTGACTTCCCGGGTGACCTTTATGGGGGTCCAGAGGTGTGCTGGAGCTGGCTCGAACCGGCCTGACAGAGCTATTGGTGGTGTAAGACCAACTGTGGTAGGAGTATTTGCACCATAGAAATTGCTAAATGCTACAGAGCAGGGCTTGTTCCCCTGGCGAGCCAGGTGTTAAACATTAACCAGGACACTGCTGAGCCGGGCAGTTGTTGATCCACACCTGTTCCTGTGTATCTAAAATTGGGATAATAATGCCTGCCTGTCTACTACTTCACAGGGTTGTTGTCAGGATCAAAATGTGACTAAGATAATAGGTTGTGAAAGCACTTTGTCACTTGTACACACAAAAGGTGCATCGTTATACTTACTGTAGTACAGTGAGCCTAGAAGACACATGAAGTGAAGACCCGAAGCAGTTGCGGTGGGAGGGGGCGTGTCTAGTTGTCTGTGAACTGGGGGCATTGTCATCTAGGCAGAATGATCCAGGACTTGTTCCACGGAGCATTCATTTCATGGGATGCTTATCAGTAATATGAGGGAGGAAAGGGTCAGTTGGCTTGGGGAAATACTAAGTTAAACGGGTATCTTTAATGTAGGAAACCTCAGAGCTTTCGGTCACCGTGAATCAGCAAGAACCTCCTGTGGTTTGCTGTGTTCCTCAAGTGTATTTGACCAGTATATTTTTTGAGTTGCATCTTGAAGGCCCAGGAGCACTGGATGAATGCGGGCAGTGTGCGGGGACCAGGGTTTCCCTGCATGGGGACTGCAGCCTCTCTTTGTTTTCTGGCCAAACACGCTGATAGCTTGTGTTGAACTCTTGGGCATCAGAACACTTGCCCCTTTTCACTCTGTGTTGGGCAGAGTATCTGTAGTAGCCATTGAAACGGACTGGTGTCACCAACCAGTTACTGTCCTCTGTGCCTGTCTTTCCTTCGAAGAGCCGCAGAGCATTCCCTGGGCTGACTGGGCCTCATATCCATGTGCGGGACAAGCGGGTCACCCTGGCCTGTGTTAGTCACCCAGCAGGCCAGGAGGAGAAGCGCACCACTTGTCAGGTGGTGCTGTGTGCGGCACAGGCCTCGTAGTCATCCATTCCACTGGGGATTTTATCTTTCTGGGTTTGTGCTGAGCAGTTGGAGGGCGGGCCTTTTGGCCTCATAAATTATATCGAGTACTGTATTCTAAGCCAGTGTATAGCCATGAGTCCACCACATGCAGTGCATAGACTTTGGTCTGCCTGTTTTAGAAGCTCCTCCCAGAAACTTAACTGTAAAAGATAGAAGAGAAATAGGACCAGGGTTGGGAATCAACCAAGTGATTTGTTTTTTAAGTTGAAAGATTGAATATAATGGAAAAAATTCCAGTAGAGAGGAAGAGAGAAATGATGCAGGCAACTCAAGGTATGAAAAAGTAACACTAATCTAAGCACTTTTTATATATTAACACATTTAATCCTTGCAACAATGTAATACCATAGGTGCCATTATTATGCGTACTTTACAGATGAGGGCACTGAGGCACAGAGAGGCGGGCCAATGTGCCTGAGGTGCTGGCAGGTGGCGGAGCCAAGGTTGGAAGCCAGGCAGCCTGGCTGTGCAGACGTGGCTGCTAACCCAGCCTGATCCTGCCTCTCTGAGGACATAGTTCTCTGAGTGGAGAGAGAGGATCGAGCCTTGGGCAAAGGGTCAGTCTTTTAACCTTTCAGATGAGAAGTACTTTCTTTGTAATGTTCGTTGTGCAGCCCTCTTGGCAGACATGCTGGCAGGCCTTTGGGAAGCCCGGCCTCCACCCATGCTCCTGGCTCTTTCAGGATAACGTAGGGGCCTGACTCTCAGGTTTCCCACAGCTGGGTCGAGTGCTTCCTGCAGCCTTCACTTCTGCATAGTTTTAGCACCAGCCTCACAGAGAGACGCTTATACATTGCTCCAGCTAGACTCCCCCTGCGTGGAGTCCCCCATTGTGTTGGGCAGGCTCGGGGCCTCTGGCTTGTTATGGATGAGATCCAGGGTGCAGGGAGGGCCAGCGCTGGGCCTTGACCCTGCGTGACAACGCGCCAGCATGTCCGACGCCCCCTGCCCCAGCCTGAGCATTCAGTTCTTCAGTTCTGCATGTACGCATATCTGCGTGTCTGTTTTCTCTTTTAGGACTCACAGAGCAGGTACCACTTGGGAATTTGCTATGAGAAGGGCCTTGGTGTACAGAGGAATCTGGGAGAGGCTGTGAGATGTTACCAGCAGTCAGCAGCTCTGGGGAACGAGCCCGCCCAGGAGAGGCTGCGGACCCTCTTTTCTTCCATGGAGGCAGCAGGTACAGATGCAAGTTGAAGCCAGCAGGGTCCCTCCCCTGAGCTTAGTACCTGTGACAGAGAAGGCATGGCAATAGTTCTGGTTCTCCTTGTCCTTTCCTGCCCCAGTGATGGGCAAGAGCACAGCTTTTCGAGTCAGACAGACCTGTTTTAACCCTGTGCTGTCACTGAACTTGGACTCCATTGTCTTTAAGCCTCAGTTTCTTCACCTTGGAATGTGTGGGTCCTAGTAGTACTTTACTCATTCAGTGGTTGTAAGGATTAAACGAGGTGACTATAAAGGGTTAACAAAGCCTGGCACACAGTAAGTATTAAATAAATGGTAGCTACTCTGGTGATTTTCCAGGAGGGACAACGTCCCGAGGTCACCTTAGCTCCCCGAATTACCCTTCTAGGGCCCTGAGGGTCCTGCTCGCCCGCAAGCCCCCCGGACGGGTGGACGTTAACAGTACCGGGGGGACCGAGTCCTTTAAGAAGTCCTTGCTGCAGAGTGGGAATCCGGGAATTCAGTGTGAGTGAGAGTTCCTCGCACCTCTCCTTGCAGCCTCCGGGCCACGGGACCTGGCCAGCTCAGGACTGAAGTCCTTCTCCAGCCCTTCCCTCTGCAGCCTGAGCCCCCTGCTGGCAGGAGCCTCGCACTTCCCACATGCCTGGAGCACGGGGAACCTTGGCCTCCCCTGCAGAAGTGGCCGTCTCGGAGCCAGCGTCCCCAGCAGGACCATCCCCCCACACCCTGGAGCTCCCAGCAGGGCGATCCCCCTGCACCCCTCCCCCTTGGAAAGAAGTCTCGTCAGACTCGGTTTCGGCTAAGGTGAGACCAGACACAGTCCCTGGTAATGCCTCTCACTGGTGCTGGGGTAGGGAGGCTGGGGAGGAAGTTGGATGGCAATAAAATGGGCGTCAGTATCCCTTTCCAGGGTGGAAATTCCAGAGGGAGCCAGGTTCTCAAGCACTTTTAAGTGCATGGCTAATAAATGACTTTGACCTCCCCCCCTCCACCCCAGTTGGTAGCCCCACAGAGGAGCAGTGGATACAATTACAGGCATTTCTGGTTGGTGCACAGAAAGGATTCATTCAGTGACCTGTGAAAAACTGTACTGAAATGTCCAGAGACCCTGGTCCTCACCTCAGCCTTTGTCTTTGAGAAAATCAGTTACCTCCTCCCTTCCCATAGTTTCCTGAAGCTTAGACTGCATTTTTTTCCCAACATCTGATATGTGTGCTTCTGGTAGTTCACAAGAGGATTTTAGGTGGGATTCAAATTAATATGTTTTATTTTAGTAGTTGTATATTTAATATATAATATGCAAATGTGACTAGCATGTTACAGTTTCACAGATATTAAGAATAGTGAATCAGCTTTAAGGAAAACAGTGTTACATCGCATAAAGGGAGCACAGATCCAGAGAGGTGGCAGAAGTCCTGGGGTGGTTCCATGAACCCCTGAGATCGGGAACGCTGAATCAGTTCGCTTGTGTTCTCCTCCAGCGGATCCATGATTGTCTGATTTGGAAGTAAGGAGTTTCTTGCCTAAATGCCTGATGCATCTGCTTGATTTTTTCCAGACCTCACGTCAGCTCCTAAAGATGAAGGCTGTGGGTTCTCAGAGAGATACCAAACTTGAGCCCCAAAGAAGAGGCCAGTTACCCACCCACCTTTCCAAAGAACCTTAAGTGCCCACCCCAGCGCAGTAAAGAAGAGGAAAGAGTGTAAAAACCCAGGTTTTGGCCATGTCCCTTTGCACAGCCACCTTCAAGCAGTGAGTAGCCTGACTCACTGCATTGTTTTCGCAGCTGCAGACCAAGGGCAGCGGTGTCCTGAGGGGCTGACATGGGGCCCTTTCACTGTGGAAAAGACCGTGGTGTCCACGGAGGCCAGAGCGGGCAGGGTGATGCTCGTGTTTACATGGCTTTAGGAGTCACCAGGCCAGGAGAGGACCCAGGCCCCCTGACTCCTGGCCCAGGGCTCTTTTGCACCGTTCACACTGTAATTTTACATGAAAGCGTTTTTATCGTCCTGCCGATGTGAGGGAGTGAATGGAGATTGAGCACCTGGACTCTTGGAGCAGGAGAGTGTGGATTGTGTGCGCTTCTGTTGGGAAGGGTGTGCCAGAAATGGATGGGAGTTTAATAAAACCGATATGGGATTATCTCATCAGTCTGCCCTTTAGTGTGCTGGGGAGAGCCAGGGAGCCGGGCTGGGGGAGCTGAAAGCCGAGGCTCCATTCTCGTCTCTAAACTTTCCATTAACCAATTTAAAGGGTCTTAAAAGCTTCTCCGAGAGAGACTTAGAAAAAATGATTTCTGAGTCAACGCTAATGACTCCAATTACTGAATTTGTGAATAGCTGTGCCCTGGCTTTTGGATGTTAGCCCAAGTTCAATAGCATAGATGTGGTTGAGAGTGAGGTGTGGGAAGGACTGAGGAGCAAAACCCTTAGTGATTGTTCCAGAGGGGAAAGCCACAGTGCAAAGGTGGGAGGATCTGAGAGAGTGTGTCCACATTTCCCTCTCTGCTCCTCACCCCTTTCCCCAACCCCTGGTGGTCCTGTCACACTTTCTTGCCACGCCTGGAGCCCTAAGCCTCTTCTAGCTCCAGTGCCTCCCCTGCCCCCTGCTGCCTTTCCAGGGCTGCCCTGCACACTGGCCTGCCTCTCACTGTCCCCTTACTTTGGGGCAGGGGCCTTGTCTTCTTCGTATTCCAGTATCCTCAGCACTTAGCTCAGGCCCCATGCAGGTAGGGGCTCAATGCGCCCTTTAGTTAAAGCTCAGGCTTTTAAGCTATGCAGTGCACTAATCTCTCCGGGGAAAAAAAGAAAAAAGAAAAAAAAAAGGTTTCTGTGGTCAAATAAGTTTGGGAAGCACTGCACTAGACATCCCTGTTTTATAGATTCACAATGCACATCAGCGTATTCGAGGTTCCAAAACATCCTGCAGCAAGGAGCCTGGCTGAGCGCGTGCTTCCTTCGTGGAGCTGAGCACGGAGCCCGCCCCCTGCAGATTGCCCGTGACCTTCGTAGGGCGCCCTCTCACCAGCCTCTTCCCCTCCTGTTGTCACTTTGGGTTATCTGATTACTGCTTTCTCCTGACCATGCCTGGGGCCAAGGGGCAGTTCATCCTGTCCAGGGACACTGGGTATCCTGCGGTGATGGCCAGGTACGGCTCTCCCTCCCCCTCAATCATTACAAATTAAGTACTGATGCAGTTTGGGGTGCAGGCCTGGAGGCGGGATATTTTTAAGCTCTACTTAAGGAGAGGGAAGGATGGGAGAGTCCTGAGAGAGATGTTGTCAAGGGACCGAAAATCCATGGCTATTCCGCCACCACGGTCTGCACACAGCCCCAGGGGATGGACTACATCGGAAGACCCAGAACTGCTGTGCTTTTGCCATTAAAATTCCGTTGTTAATGACTCATTGTCAGTGCCCTGAAAGGAAGTGTAGTGGGAGGGCCAGGAGATGGCCCCTGTCAGCAGGGCCAGCCTGGGTCAGGCGTCTGGGTGACCTGAGGTTTAGGGCCTAGTGCCCTCAGCAGTGAGACCTTTGTGTGAGGCTCTGCTGCCTCAGTTTCCTCATGCGGAGATGCTGCTTCCAGGGAGCCCTGAGGGTGGGAGCAAGGCTGTTTGGCTCATTATATCTTCAGTGCTAATACAATGTTCAGTATATATTTATTCCATGAATGAGTGATTCTATGCATTGTCCCTTCTCCAAGCCTAGCCTGCACCTCATAGGTGCATTAAATATTCATTAAAGGATTGATTCGATATACACCCCCCCCCGTTATCCCCAATGCTACTTTCGCCCCATAATACTCAAACTATCTATCTGCCATCTCCTTGCTAATTTGTTGCCCCATAATTGCTCAACAAATACAAAATATTGGTTGAATGAGTGTTTCTGATCACACCTCCCTCCTCTCCCCACCCGTTACATTGTACCCACCCAGAACTTAGTAGGGGCTGAAAAATGCTGACCTATTTTCTCCTTCCACACTCCGTGCCCAACTGAGCCTCCTTTCCCACCCATCCCGTCATCTCCTTTTTGGGATTTGGTTCCCTTCAGAGTCCCCAGGGTGGTGGTCGCCATCTCACTCCTGTTTCAGCCAGAGGAGAGGCAGGGTCAGTGAGCTGCCGAGCTGAAGCCGGGTGACAGACAAGGAGGCTGCCTGTCAATCTCTGAGCTGCCCCCAGGCTCCGAGTCAGCGCCGCATCACAACACTCCTGGTGCTGGAGAACGAAAGGCTGACTGTTGATAAAAAAAAAAAAAAAAAATCCCTCTGCGCTCTCCAAATTAAGACGACATTTAACTGAGTGCTTGCTGGCTCGCCTGCTCCCGCGGTCTCCCAGGGGACAGAGCCCGTCTTGGTGGAAACTGTTCTGAGCATGTCCAAAGTCTCAGCTTTGACATCTTTGGCTGATGTCAAGAAGTTTCTGCGACCTTGTTGTTCAGCCTATACAGTTCTGTCACCACAGACGCTATCTCCCTCTCAGCCCTGTTGTTGGGAAAGGGCTGGTGTTCGCGTGCTCCGAGGAGGCTGCATGGCGCAAGCGGGAGTACAACCCGCAGTGCTCACACCCCCTCCCCGTGCAAGGGTCAGTGGCCTCAGAAGAGCTCTGCCCAGGAGTTCCCCAGCCCAAAGGATCACGGTCGTCCTTAGCCCTATTTAGGTCACAGAATCTGATGAAAGCACTAACTCCTTCCCACGGCAAAATATACCTCCTCCCAATTTTATGAGCAATTAAGCAGGTCCATAGATCCCGAAGCCGAAGCAAGGGCCCCAGGTGAAGAGCCCTGAATGTATTAGAACGAACATCATCCTAAATCCCAGATCCAGATCCTAGCCCTGCCACAAACCTGCCACGTGGCTTTGGGCCAGTCAGCCTTTTCTGTCCTGCCGTCTCCTTGCTATAAGATGTTCAGACTTCTTATAACTAAAATTACCCATGTCTATGGAGGTTTAAAATCGTGACTTAGAGCAGTACTGCACAACCTTTTATAGGTCACATGTTCCTTTGAGAATCTGATGAGAACTTTGTATCTTCTGCTTAGGAAAATGCCTATGTGCAAAGGTTTGCCCACTATTCAGTGAGGGCCAAGGACTACAGGTTTAGGACTTCCGAACTAGAAGGAAGCAGTCACCCAGCATGTCCAGCGATCCAGTTGCCAGCCATGGTGCAAGGTGTCTCAGGTCACCTCCTCCCCGCATCTCTTCACCCTCCCAACATCAGCTCTGCACTGAAAATCCACCCGGAGTAGGAGGTCGGCACTGTCCGGTGCTGTGGTTTCCAGGCCTGCTTTCACTTATGGGACCATTTTCCCCCCATAGAGTCTTGCCTGGAGCCCCAGTGTAGATAACTGGGAGCTCTGAAGCATTTCTTCATTCATTCGTTTATTCGTTCAGTGAGTGTTCTCCATATGTTGCTTTGTGCTGGGCCCTGGCTGGTGAGCCCGGAGACCCTGTCTGCTTCGTCTGTCCAGCTTCTCTCATTCATGGGAACCCAACAGCTTGAAAATCACAAGTCTTGTAAGGAGATCACTCTGGCCTTGAGGGAGGTGACCAGAGACCCAGGCACCCTGCTCCTGAAACCCTTAGCTCTTTGCGGTTTATTGGGATAATGATGCCGCACTGTATTCTGAGTATGGGTGGTTTTCATTAGCCCCTACTTAGGAGTACGAAGGGCACATTTATGTGGACAGTGAACATGAGTGCTGAGCTCCAAAGGAGGACAGAAGGAGGAATTTTTGCCTTCAGTGACCAGGAGAGCCCCACGCTATGGAGAAGCCAGCTGAATGACAGCTCGGAAATTTGCAGGAAAATTATAAAGCTGAGCCTTGGGAAAATATTTGCTGTTTCTTCACTACCCCCTCCTCCGGAAGGTTGGCTGCTGTCAGTGTCGATTTCATGGACCCAGTTCACACACTCCCCTCTCGCGCCTGAATTCACAGGTCCTAACCTGCTGTGACAGGAAGATTTACCTACAAACGGTGGTTTCTGGAAAGACAACTTCTGTACCCAAAAGGCTGCTCACTGGGAAAGGACAGGATTCTGCAGAGGCCCAGGCCTGCGTCAGATCAAATCCAAGTCCCTTTTATCCAGGGCTTGGAAGTGTAAAGACGTGCCAGGTCTGAGCAGCTTTGGAAATACTCTCTTCAGCAGTGTTCCTGCCAGGCAGCTCAGACCAGTCCACTACTGCCAAAAGCTCACCTATGGGGGCTTTTCTATTCCTTCCTTGGCTGGCAGTCTAGTGTAAAGGTCAAGGGCATGAGTTTTGCTGTTGGACAAACCTGGCTCCAAATCCTGACTCTGCGTCTCCTCTCTGCTTGATCTTGGGCTCAGCCTCTCCAAAACTCATATCCTGGTCTATGAAATGGGGATAATAACACCTCACTCTCAGGGCTGCCGGGAAATTATTAATTAAATCCTATTGTAAGCCTGGTACCTGGCTCATGTAAATGCTCTATAAATAGTCACACTTTTCTTAACCCTAATTTTCCAGATGAGAAGCGTATTATTTGATAATGTGGCAATAGAGGAGTGGGGTCAAGAGCATACATGTCCATTGTTGCGTAGCTAACACCAACATGTCCCACTCCTGTCCAGGCTCAGCCTGACCCTCTTGCCAGGGAGTGGATGACAAAGAACCATCTCTCTTACTCATCCCTCCTGAGAGGTGTAAACAGAACAAGCCACGCTTTTCCTTTATTAGTAGGTTAGAGAGCTTTGCCTGGCACTCCAGGATCCAGCCCCCGACCTTCCAGAAGGCAACAAGGCCATCCTTCTGTGCTTGTGACACTCCTTGACATCTGTTCCACTGGAGGACTGGCCCTCTGTGCTCTACATGTGTTTTGCCAGCAAACACTATCTCAGCTACAAACTATCTCTGTCCTCCAAAAATTCAGAGCCAGCTCTTAACAAGGAGCTGCTTTGGTGAGCCAGCTGTTAGTCCTTCGGCCCCTGCCCCCTCTGTGGGGCGGCATCAGTTAACCTGAAGTTCTCGAGCCACCTCAGCTCAGTGAGTTCAACAATTTTAGAAACCACATGTCCAAGGAACCTCAGGGCCTGGACTCTCTAATGTCTCCTGGGGCCCCTCGTTCTTGGATCCACAGGCCCCTGCTGCTGCTGCTACTGCTGGTCCTGCCCTCAGCCCCCTTTCCACTTGGGCTTCCGTGGATGTCCGTGCCGGAGGCCCCACTGGTGGCCAGGTCTAGACTGAGGGTCCTCCCGCAGACGGAGAGCCGCCGCAGCACCTCGGAGGCGGCCTCCACGGGCACGCTGGCACGCTGCTCCAGCAGCATGTCCAACAGCGAGCTCATCTCAGAAAGGAAGGTGCTGGCCAGCCGCGTGCCAGTCGGGCTCAGCTCCGGCCCCGACCCCTTGCCGAACGTCTGGAAGGTCCTCGGCTCCTCCAAGGCTGCAGTGTCCGGGGAGAACACGTTGTCACGGTAGTTCGTGGTAAGGGGCAGGGAAAGCCTAGCCATCCAGGCGGGGTCTGGGGCACTCAGCCGTTCCAGGGCCAGGCCTGCAGGGGGCGGAGGGGACAGTGAGGGCTGGGCTCACGGAAGGGCCGGGCGGACAAGGGTGGGGTGTGGGCAGGGTAAGGGTACTGAACAAAGGAGGGAAGGAAAATGGCAGGGGACAGACGGGGTAGCCGGAGGAGGACAGGAAGGAAGAGGCCCTGACAGGGAAGCTCACTGGGCAGGAAGGCAGCAGACTGAAGCTGCCCGTGAGCTGAAGGAGGAGGAGGCAGGGGGAAGGCCTAGAATTAGAAATTGGCCTGTTTCTAAACAATGTCTGGGTCAGTGGAGTGTTTTAGGTCTACGCACCTTTCACCTATTCCTTACACCAGGCGCACCACTGAATGGGGAAAAATCTCTTTTCTCAGCCAGCTCCAGCTGGAGTTTCTGGCTTGGTGCTGCCCTCTGTCTCTACGCATAATAGTGACCACTCATTAAGTGCTTCTGTGCCAAGCAATTGCATAACTATCTCATTCAACTTCCATATAACTTTTGGAGTCAAGAGTATTATCCCATTTTATGGATGAGGAGACTGTGAATTTCTGAAAAGTTAAGTCACATATGTACTAGGCAAGCAAGTCCAGATTGGACCCCAGTTCGGATGACTTTGAAGTCCCTTGTGACTGCACCACGCTCTCCACCCTCAGGAGCTGGCCCTTCCTCCCCTGGGCCCCATGCTCTCAGGCTCCAGGAAAACTGGTGCTGGAGGCAGGCTGCCTCTCTAGGGGCTGTCCCAGGACAGGGACAGGGGCAGTAGGTCCCCAGTGCCACCATCGCACCTTTTTTCCCGTTGCAGAAATTAGTCCCAGAAGAGGGTAGAGGCCCAAGCAAAAGAAAGAAAGTCTCATAGTTAAGAAACTGTGTGTTAAAAAAAAAAACCAAAACCTACACAACATCTACTTGGAAATGTATTTAATAATTGCTTCAGGTGAGCTGCTTTGAAATCTGCGCACTGTTTATAGGAATGCTGATTGGTGCAGCCACTGTGGAAAACAGTATGGAGTTTCCTCAAAAAATTAGAAGTGGAACTGCCTATGACCCAGCCATTCCACTTCTGGGAATATATCCAAAGCCTGAAACACTAATTCGAAAGAATATATGCACCCCTATGTTCATTGCAGTGTCATTTATAATAGCCAAGATTTGGAAGCAGCCCAAATGTCTTTTCAGTAGATATGTAGATTAAAAAGTTGTGGTACATTTACACAGTGGAATACTACTCAGCCGTAGGAAAGAAAAAAAAGAAATTTTACTGTTTGCAACAGCATGGAGAGACCTAGAGAGCATTAAGCTAAGTGAAATAAGCCAGTCAGAGAAAGACAAACACCGTATGATTTCACTCATATGTGGAGCCTAATGAACAAAATAAACTGAAAAACAAAATAGAAACAGACTCCTAGAGAATAGACTGACAGCTGTCAGAGGGGACAGGGTTTGTAGGGCTGGGTGAAAAAGGTAAAGGGATTAAGAAAAAAAAAAGTAGTATGGTGATTACCAGAGGGAAAGGGAAGTGGGGGGAGGAAGAAGAGGGTAAAGGAGGGATAAAAGGTGACGGAAGGGGGCTTGGGGTGGTGAACACACAGTTCAATGTACAGATGACCTACTATAGAATTGTACACCTGGAACCTGTATAATTTTATTAACCAATGTCACCCCAACAAATTCAATTTAAAAAGGGAAAAAATAAAAACCAATACAAATAAAAAATTAAATCTGTGCATAGAATAAAAGCCTGGAAGGAGACATGTCAAAGTTTTTATCAAAATTACTCAGAGCAGAAGAAATTTATTTTCTTTTTCTCTCTATTTTTCTACATTAACTAAATATTGCTTGTGTGATTTGGAAAAATTATTTCAAAATACAGCTAATTGTTGTTTATATTGATATAAATGAATCTCGGTCTTGCCTCGTGAGCGTGGGACTGTGCAGCGTGTGAGGCAGGGTCAGGCCACTTCCCCACCGGCCAGCCCACGCCTGGGACTTGGTGAACATTTACTGAATGATTGAGTGAACATAAATATTAACCCTGGACATTTGGGAAATGTAAACCTTAGTTCCCCAAGACTCTGGGGTAATAAGGTTGGAACTCCTTGGCTGTTACAGAATTAGGCCTTTCCTTGTACAAGGGTCAGAGAGCTTCAGAAGGAATGAAGCTTGGAATGAGAAAATCACTGGGGTGTACGAGAACGGCTGGAAAGCGACAGCGAGTTCGCTCTGTGGCAGGTGGGCGCAGGGCCGACCTGGGTTTGATTTCCCCGCTTTGCTGCTTATGAACAGTGTGACCTTGGGAAAATTGCTTAACCTCTCTGAGCCTCCTTTTTCTCAAACAAAGTGGTGAGATAGCAGGACTCATCTCGTGGGGTTGCCGTGAGCATTCACAGAGCTCATGCAACCAATAAAATATCTGCATCACATCCTCAGGTGGGGCTTTCCTCTGATGCAGCCAAGACGCCAATGCGCGGCCCGTCACCAGCGGCCTCATCTAAGCTCAGCCCTGTGAGCCGCTCAGGCTTTTTATCCCAGTTGCTCTCCTCACACACCCCCACCCCCGCCGCCCTCTGTGCTTCTTGCCCTCTGTGCCGCAGCAAAGCAGGACCCCGTGGGAACTGAACCCAAAGGCACCAGTCCACAGCTGCCCAACAGAGAGAGACTGTGAGCTACAGAGGTCATTTTAAATTTTCTGGTAGCCACATTTAAAAAAAGTAAAAAGAAAAAGTGAAATTAATTTGTAAAACATTTTTATACTTAATATTACTATTTTACCTCATAGCCAATACAGTATTTTAAAATTATTGAGATAATATATTTTTTTTAAACTAAGTGTTCAAAATGTGGAGTGTATTTTATATTTACAGCACATCTCAATTCAGACTAGCCATTTTCACATGTGGTTAGCGGCTGCTATGTTGGACCTCATAGTTCTATATTCTAGACAACACAGTCCTAAAAAACTTTCTATAATATATGTGCCATCCAAGGCAATACCCACTAACCACATGTGGTTATTGAGCACTTGAAATGTAGCTGGTATGACTGAGGTACTGAATATTTCATTTTACATGTGCTTAATTTTAACTAGATTTAATTTTCCTTAATTTTAGTTCAGAGCCACGCTGCCAGTGTTAATAACCCACTGGCTGCACAACCTCGGGAAAATTATTTAACACCCCTGCCCATCAGATCCTTCCTTTATGAAGTGGGAGTAATGAATAGTCCCCATCTCGTAGGAGTTTCTCATGAGGCACTCAGAACAGGGACTAGCACATTAAAAGCACTCAAGAAATGTTAGCCATATTTTTTTTTAACTAAGGAAAAGGAAGTGCCTGCCATGCCTTCAGCGTGTCTGCAGCCAGATGGAGCACACAGGATATGCCCAGATGAGAAACAGATTGTTAACTGCAGAAACAAAGCCACAGCTTAGGAATGGCCGGACTCATGGGTGTCACCTAAAGGGGGCTGGCCGGCGTCCACAGCAGAGGGGCCGGCTAACAGGTTCTTGAATTAAAGTTCATGTTCTGTGTCTATTTTCAAAACAAGTTGTTTCTCTAGAAAAAAATTCCTTTTGTTTCTGTTAGAAACGTTAGCACATTAAAGAGTTGATTCAGCCTCAGGGTAAAAGGATGTTTGAACACACCAAAGAAATTCAGAGGAGTGGTTTAAGAGGTAAGGGGCGGTCTCTTGATGACAGGCAGGCCCAGGTCAACTGCCCTTCAGTCAATAACGAGCTAGGTGACTCTGGGCAGCCTGAGTGACCTCTCTGAGCCTCAGTTTGCTTATCTCTAACTTGGAGCTCATACTATCTACCTCCAAGGACTGTGTGGAAACTTTAATGAGGTAATACGTATGTTTCCTGTACCTGGCACACGCTAAGAGCTCAGCAATCATTCACTATTCTTAAAATTATTTGTAAAACGAGTAATCAAAGTAGAATCTGGTCTGTAAGCAAACAAAGACCGTTTGAAGCTCCAGGAAAAATATATTGTTGATGTTCCTCCCCAGAAACAGAATGGCTGTGTTTCCCTGTAGTAGATTGGAGCAGAGCTCTGAAGCCTGGGCATGTGAGTGTGGGGTCAGAAGGAGGACTCTGGGGAGCCCCTACCTTTGTTGGGGTCCAGTAGGCTGGACAGCTCTTCTTCTAGCAGCTGCTTCACCGAGAGGTCCTCTTCAAGGTCCAAGGGTCCCTCCTCCTGGTCCGGTTCCGCCTGGCCACCAGCCCTAGTCCCTGGGCCATCTGTTTCTGGGACTGCACTCCTGGAAAGGAAATCAACTCAGTCCACAAGTGAGACGGTCCACACACAGGTTCATTCATTCCAGCTCATGAACATTCTCCTATTCATCCAGCGGTCATTGATCTACACAGGCAGCTGGATACACACAATTCAGCCTTCAAAATCAGACCAACCTGAGTTACTTGATCCCAGCCCTCCTGTCTACTCTGAGTCTATAACACCCACCTCAAGGGGCATCATGAGGCTAAAATGAGACATTGTATGTAAAGAGCTTAGCACAGTGCCTAACACATTGTAAGTACTCAGCAGACAGAAGTGACTATGTATGCATTGTGTGATTACATACTGTTGTCCCTCCCATTTCTGCATATTGCCTGGCACAGAATAGGAGTTTAGTAACTTTGGTTGAGCCAATGTAGTCATCCACCATCCATCCCTCCTTCAAAGTATGAGCTCCAGTCAGGGCAGCGATTTTTGTCTGTCTCATTCCCTGCTCTCTCACCAGTGCTCAGAACAGGACCCAGTGCATAGTAGGTACTTAATACTGTGTGGGTTGAGTGACTGAATGTTTCCTCCTCCCGACTTGAGGCCAAATCCCAGACCAGAAGAGCAGATCTGTAGAGGGTGCAGCTGAGGTGAGACGTCCAAAAGCAATTCAGAACCCACAACCCCCCTTCCCACTCCTACTGCCTCCTCCTGGGCTCCTCTCCCCCAGGGACCCTTCTTATCACCTGGGGAAGGCCAGTTCCTGGAACCTCTTGGCATGGGGGGGGGACAGGACTGGCCCCTCATCATCCCAGCAGGTGGAGAAGCTCCCTGAGGGGTTTTAGAGCCTGGGGGTCTTTTTTGCTTTTTTTTCTGTGGTCACTGCTGCTGCTATGAAGGGATCAGCAGGGAGGAGGCAAGTTTGCAAGTAACAATGACAACAACTCAAGTTACTGGGCTATTACTCTGAGACAGGCCTTATGCTTTTTAGGGTATATGCACCTTTTCATTAAACCTTTCACATCTCTAAGGAGTTCTCTTGTTAGCATTCTCATTTTACATAAGAGAAAACCAAGACTTGTGAAGATTATGCAGCTTGCCCAAGGTCCCCGGTGAGAAATCAAATTTAGGCTGCTGTGACCCTGGAGTACTCACTGCTGCTCATACTACCTCTCATTATCTTTGGGGGAAAGAAGAAGAAGGAGAAGAAGCTACAGGTTGTCACGGCAACAGCACTGAACCAAGAGGCGGGTGCCCTGAGAGCTGGTCCCAGCTTTGCCACTCACTGGCTATATGACCTTGAACAAAGTCACTTTAAGAAGAAAGGACTTAGCATTGCTGGTGTACCTGCCATGTGCCAAGCACTGGGCTGTGGGCTTAGGATATGTGTGATCACTGAATTCTTACCCCATCACTATAAGGAAGTGTGGTGACCTACATTTTAAAGATGAGAAACCAAGGATTTAGGGTTTTATCAGACTTGCTCAAGTTTACATAACTAGGTGCATCAAACTAGTTAGAGCCTCAGTTTCTCCACCTGACAAGGAGTTAGATGTCCTCTTGAGGTCTCTTGAATTCTGGGACAGCCCAAAGGAACACACCCACACACCCATGTCCTTAGCCAGGGGCCTTCATATTATGTTTAAGAGTCAAGAGAAGAGAACTGAAAGTTACAGATCTAAGGTCCATAGCCCAGCTCTGCAATCGGGGGACAGATAATCAGAGCCTCAGGGATGAAGTCATTTCCTTAGTGACTCTGTCCTGTAAATACTATAAATACAGTTGCTCCAGGACCCAGTGGCCTGGGCTGGGGGGTGGATGCTGTCCGCTGCACTTTCCCAGGGGAGCAATGGCTGGCATGTGCTCACCCTTCCTTGCAGTCTCAGAGGCTGCGGGGGTGAGGGGAGGCCGGAGGGGAAGCTGGAGAAGCCTGGGGGGCTACGTGCACTTACCTGCCACCGCAGGGCTTGGCTGAGTACTTGTTTCCCCGGTGGTTTGGTTTGGGCTGGAATTGGCCCTGATGCAGCAAGGACAGCAGCTGCGAGATTTGCTACAAGACAGGAAAAATCTGTTGACTCCACACAATTCCGACCCAGCATACTTCCTCACCGGATGTTTCCCTCAATGCGGGCGCTTTCTTTTTATAGTCTTTCCTCCAGCTTCAGATGTTTGTGTGATCAGATGGGGGATGGTGAGAGGCGAACGGTGAGAGAGGCTGGGACCTGTGCAGGCAGGTTCCCTGCCTTGCCTTTGTCATCCCGGGACCTGAGTGTCTGAGCGAGAGAACGAGGACCCTCTGGGCTCATCTCCTCTCATCCCCCACAAGTGACCTGCTCCTGCTGGAATCTGGGATGAGGGTGAAAAAGGCATTTCCTGACCATAAATTAATTATTACTTTGATCGGGATTATGTTAAAGAGTTATTTCCCCCTTCAGCAGTATTCAAGCACTCAGCCAATTTTTATGGGCTGGATGTAAAACTATGCTGTAGAGAAGGCAAAAACGATGTCATTAAATCATTCATTGATTCATGCTTTTTCATTCATTCAACAGGTATTTAGTAAGTGCTTGTATGTGCCAAGGTCCTGCGCTCACTGTGGGAATACGAATGAGAGCGAGGCCCGACGTCTGCCCTGCGGGAGCTCAATCTGTCAGAGAAGGCAGTGCACAGCGGTTGCTCTAGGGGGTTGCACTGGGTTGAGAAAGGTTGGGGGTCTGTGGGAGCAGAGGAGGGCTACTTACCCAACTTGGAGCAGAGAGGAAGTTGTGGGGTGAAGTGAGAAAAGGTTATATACTTGTTTCTACAAGTATCAAACTCATACTGCCTGCTAGGCACCTCTGCTGAGACCCCAAGGCTCCATAGGGGAGAGTGGAATCTCAGCAAGTGGAGAGAGGGCGAGGGTCTGGGCCTGGGGTGAAGGGTGTTCCAAGCAGAAAGCACTGAATGCTGAGGGGCCAGAGAGGCTGACTGGAGACCGGGGCAGAAGTTGGGCAGGATGTCAGGGCCAGACCCCGCAGCGCCTCACAAGGAAGAAGGCAACAGACCAAGTCTTGGGAGGCTGAGTTCTAGTTCAAGGTCATTTCTACTTTGTGTAATGTCAAGCAGATTTTTAGACCTACTTAGACCTTTTCTCACCTCTCAAGCGGAGCTAGAAATACCTGTCCGGCCAGCCTTCTTCATGGGTTGTCAGTATTAATTAGATGGTCTGAAAGTTAAGAATGCTCCACAGCCCTGACCTGTGTGGCTCAATGGGTTGGGCGTCATTCTGCAAAGCGAAAGGTCACCGGTTTGATTCCCATTCAGAGCACAAGCCCAGGCTGTGGGTTTAGTCCCTGATCTGGGTGCAAACAAGAGGCAACCGATTGCTGTTTCTCTCTCCCATCAATGTTTCTCCCCCTTTTTTTCTCCCTCCCTTCCCCCTCTCTAAAAATAAATAAATAAAACATCTAAAAAGGGCTCCACAAATGCAAGAAGGTTGGGTTCTTTCTCCTAGAAACGCTGCCTGTGCCTCCCGAGCCCACCCCCATTCCTCCCCGAAAGGGCCCCCTCTGATCTCCTGGCAAGACAGAGAGTGCCAATCTCAGAGGAGGGCTGGGGGGGAAGGTACCCTGACTGGGGTTTCAATGTGACTTGGGAGGCTCAGGGTCCCATTGCCTGCCTCAGGGCAGACCCCACCTCCTGAGGCTCCTGCCGCCCTTTTCCCAAGTGACAGCTGTATTTCAGGGACACTCCTCGAGTGCCATCGCCTGAGCTGAACACTGTCATTCAAGGTCACTTCACAGTTAGAGCCCAGACTCTGGAGTCAGTTGGACTCAGATTCAAACCCTAAATCTCCCCTTGCCCCAGTTCCCACCTACGAGGCCTTGGGGAATTACTTAAGCGTTCTGAGCCTCGGTTCCCTCAGCAGTAAAAAGGGAATAATAATAAGATCTGGGTCACAGAGTGGTTGTGGTTATAGGGATTAAATGAGTAAAAGTATATAAATCACTTACTAATAGAGCTTATGATAAGCACTATTAATAACTGTCAAGTTGTATATAATCTCATTTAATTCTTAGAATAGCCCAAGAGAAGAGATATCATCACACCCGTTTTCCAGGTGTGAAACCTTCCAGAGGCTTCCAGGGGCTATACAACAATCACTGGTAGGGCTAGAATTTGAACTTGGATCTGACTCCTCTCTGGCACTATACTGCTAAGACATTAGACGAACTGCCTCTTAGCTGCCAGTTGATCCTAAATGGGCACCCTTCTTTCCATCACCCCACTGGAGCCAACCACAGTGCCTGCTCTCTGCTATCTCTATTTACCATCAACCAGGTTTTGGCACAAAGGGCTCGTTCACTAAGCACTTGATGAATGAATGAATGAATGAATGAATGAATGAATGAATGAATCGCTTTGGGCAACCTCTGGGTCTGCATAGGGCCCAGGGCAAGAATCCTGAGAAAGCAGCTGGTCCCTCTCCAGGTGGCTTCCTCGGGAGGGGGTGGAGGAAGGAAGCTGCGTCCTTGCTCCACAGGAAGCCTTAGCTGATGGCCTGGCCAAACAGAAGTGTGATTTGGGCTGGCAGCCTGGTACAGGGAAAATTACCTGGGGTGCAGGGGGGCAGATACGAGTGCGGTATCAGGCACCATCTCTGAAAATGTTTCCCATTTGTGTCTAATAAATCCTAGGTCTCTAGACACTTTGCCATTTATCATCTCATTTAATTCTCAACCCCCTGGGATGTAGACCACGGGGTAAGTTTGGCATCATAATCCCCACTTTATAGATGAGGAAAAGGAGGCCCAGATACTAAGGCATTTGCCCAGGGTTGCCCGGCTTCTAAGTAGCTATGCTGAATTTGAGCCCAGACCTGCCTAACTCCCAAGTTCCAAGGTGGTTTTCACTGCCCCATCCTGCAGACTCAGGCAGCAAGCTCTGGGGTCTCAGGCAAGTGATATGCAGCCCCTGAGTCTGGGCTCCCTGAGCAAGTGCTTTTTAGGAATTAACTGATCCACTCCTCAGGGCCATTCTGTGAGGCAGATGCTCTTACAATCATTCCTATTTTACAGATTGAAAAACTAAGGCTCGGAGACAGTAAGTAATTTGTCCAGGATCACACAGCTAAATTCTGTTGACCCCAGAGCTATGCCCTGAATGACCGCACACATTGCACCATAAAGTGCCCAGTGAGCCTAGGGAATGAATATGAGGATTGTGAATACTGGTGGTGTCTGATGCTGTTGGTAGTGGTCCAGGGGCAACCAGAGCTGCCCACACAGAGGTACCTGAACAGGAGGAGAATCCACAGTGAGCTCCTCTACGGGGTTCCGCTCTGCAAAGGCGGCCACGGACAGCCGGACCAGGCTCCGCAGGATCTGACGGGGGCCTGACTCTTTCTCAGGGGCCACTTTACCATGGAGGTTTCGCTGCCGCCTCAGGGTTGCAGAAGAGGCTGGTGAGTTCAGCAGGGCCTCCTCGCTGCCCTGCTCTCTGGGCAGCCTCCCTGTGGGGCTGCCTGCCGCCTTCAGGGGCCTTGAGCAGGGCTGGCCCAGTGCAGGCTGGGGCTCAAGAAGGTTCAGATTCTCCCGAGAAGCATTCCTCTGCCTGGGATGGTTGAAAAGGAGGTTGACTGTGTCCTGCAGCACCTCTCGGTTCTCAGCCAGCGTTCCCTGGTTGCCTTGGTTACGCAGGGTCCTGTAGAGGGTCGGTGTGAGATGAAAGGGGGCCTGCAGGCAGGGGTCCCAGCCTGCTTCCATCATTGCTTCTTTGCTAACATCCTTTGGGGGTTGCCCGACTTCACCAGGCGCGTCCCCCTGGCCCCTGAGCACAGGGACGAGGTGGATATCTGCTTTCTGAATGTGTTTCTGGGGCCTCTTGGGCTGGTGGCGGTAGGTGGATTCAGCCTCCCGACAGTTATAGGCCCTGTTGTCCTTCTTCTCTGTCCGGCAGAGGGACACGATCAAAGCCAAGATCAACCCAAAGATGGCCAGCAGGACAACCAGGCAAATCACCGTCAGCACCGATGTGCTTAGGGCCCCAGGATCAGGGGATGAGTCCCTGAAGTGGTCCACACTGGTGACAAACAAGACCCTCAACAAGGCTTGGGTCTGCAAGGAGGGGCTGCCACGGTCTTCTACCACTATCTCCAGCTCCCACTTACTCCCAATGAGGCTGCTGGCATTGGTGATATTGATGAACAGCTGCCCCAGGTCAGGGCTGAGGACAAAGAGGCGGGCTTCATTCCCACTCCGAATACTGTAGAAGACCTCTCCATTTGCCCCCGAGTCTGCATCTCTTGCTACAATGGTCGCCAAAAGGAATGGCTGGGAGCTGTGGGCGGCCTGTGGTGCTTTGTCAGTACCTGCTGGACCTAAGCCATTGGGAGTGTCAATGGGCACCAGAAGGTGGCCTGTGGAGGCATTTACAAGCACCGAGAGGCTGGCTTTCCCATCACTGAGGAGGGGATGAATCACCTCTGGGGCATTATCATTAGCATCCAGGAGGTTGACCCACACAGAGACACTGGATGAGAGCTGGGGCTGTCCCTTGTCCTCTGCAATCACGTGGAACTCAAAGCCAGCCATCTGCTCATAGTCCAGTGACCTCTGAGCAGTGACCTCTCCGGTGTCTGGATCCATGGCTACCAAATGAGAGACTGGGGAGTCCTGGATTCTGTATGAGAGTTGTCCATTAATGCCCAGATCTGCGTCATGAGCTTTGATGGTAATGAGGTGAAGAGAGGGCAGGTTGTTTTCCCTAGTGGAGACTTCATACCGGCTCTTCTCAAACACAGGTGCGTTGTCATTGACATCACTGATCTGGATGCTGAGCTGTTTCTCCGCCGATAAAGGCTGGGTTCCTTGGTCTTGGGCCAATAGAGTGAGGGCGTATTCAGGCCACTGCTCTCTGTCCAGCATGGCATTGGTTAGCAGCATGTATGTGTTGCCAGTGGTCCTTTTCAGCCTGAAGTGACCCAGCTCTTGGCTCAGCCAACAGTGGACCAGACCATTGTTTCCTGAGTCTAAGTCATTGGCCGTGACGAGAGCAATGAAACTGTCCTTGGGAAGAGCTTCTGATACCAGTGACGGCTGGGAGGCCCATGTGATGTGGATGCTTGGAGCGTTGTCATTGACATCCAGAACCTTGATGAGGACTTTGCAATGGGCTGGGATGGGATTGGGGCCCAGGTCCCTTGCCTGGACATCCACCTCATAAGCAGGATTCTTCTCATAGTCTAGGGGTTGGAGCAGAATTACCTGGCCTGTTTTGGCATCAATACTGAAGGTGTCCAGCACCTCCGGAGGCACGTGCTTACTGAGAAAGAACTCCACCTCTCCGTTAGGGCCTTGGTCAGGGTCGGTGGCGGTCAAGTTTATGAGGAGAGTACCAGGGGCAGCATCTTCTTGGATTTCTAGTGCCAGTGAGCTCTCAGCAAACACAGGGCTGTTGTCGTTGGAGTCCAGGACGTTGACTTTGACCAAGCTGGTGCCTGACTTGGGGGGGTTCCCACTGTCATAGGCAGTTAACACCAGATCAAAACATGAGTGGATTTCCCGGTCCAGCTCCTTCACCACCACAAGCTCCGCGTGTTTGGTCTCATCGGGCCCCACAATGACATCCAGGGCGAAGTGCTCACTGGGAGATAGGGAGTAGGAGTGCAGCGTGTTGGGGCCAGTGTCTGGGTCCAGAGCTCTGTCCAGGGGGATCCGGGTGCGCAGAGAAGCACTCTCAGAGATCTCCAGCTCCTGCTCGCCTTTGGGAAACTGTGGCTCATGATCATTGATGTCCAGCACCTCAATCTCCACGTGGATCAGAGCCAAATCCCCTGTGGCAAGCACATCAAAGGAAACCAGGCAGGGATCCTGCTGCCTGCAGAGCTGCTCTCGGTCCAGACGCCTCCCCGTGCTGAGCAAGCCGTCCAGGGGGTCCACCTGGATGGGGAGTGCCTGAGGTAGCTGCAAGACCTGGAAGGCAGCCCCCGCTTGCCCATGCCTCTCCTCCCAGCCCAGTGCCTGGGAGAGCTTCCCTATCACCGTGCCAGATGGCACTTCCTCTGACACTTGGTATTTCACAGTGAGAGTGGCCACTTCCTGACAATCCCCTGAAAGAAACAAGTAGCCACCTGGCCCCAGAAGCCCCAGCAAAAGTCGCAAAAGTTGCATCATGCTTACCGCCAGAACGGGCTAGATTCAGAAACTGCTGGAGTTCTTCAAAGGCTGGGAAGTCCTCCAGTGTTTCTGGGGGGACTTGATTAGCCCCTCTCTCCTGCCCCCAGACCTGCTGGCACGACCTTGTCCCATAATTAGACGATGATGAAACTGGCAGGATTCCCAGGCAAGGCCATCTTCATCTGGAGAGATCCGAGAGGTCCCGGCAGCGATGAAGCGGGATTGCCAGGGGAGACCCAACGCAGGGGCATCCGTTGGTCCACTCCAGCCAGTGATGGGCAAGAGCCAGTCCAAGAGGGACTTGACCCAGTAAAGCAGGATGTGGGGATCTGACTTCCAAACAGTTGCTAGGCTGGGGAAACAGAGAAGCAGCTTTTTCCTATGGAAACCCCACCTACAGGAAAAGGGAGGGCTGTGAGTTTCAATGCCAATTAGAGAAAGAGAGCACGCTTCCCGTGAAGCCCAGTAGCCTGCTGCTGAGGAGGATGCGGCAGGGGCTACAGGGACAGGCCGGATGGGAAGGTGCTGCTCATGCAGCAAGGCGGCCTTGTAGGGAAACGGTGCCCCTGTGTGGCCAAGCGAGCAGAGGGCCTGAGCCCCGCCTGCCGCCCTGGGCCCGAGGCCCACCCGGGGCAGTCCTGCTCCCTCTCTCTCCGCTTCCTAGTCTCTCTTCGTGCCTGGCATTTTCCCATTATTCCTCGGCCATTCTGATCTTTTTCCTATACTCGTCTGCCTTTAATCTGGACTCTGTTCTGATCACTCACTTCTGTTGCATGGGAAGCAGCTGTGATTAAGAGGGTGGCCATCGCGGCCAAACTCCCTGGGTTCAAATCCCAATTCCGCAGCTTACCAGCTGGGACACGGGGACAAGTCACTGGGCCCCTTTGAGTTTTCACCACCTCCTTTTTAGAGTGTGAATGAGAATAAGAATAGTAGCCCTCCAGCGGGAAATTGTGAGGATGAAATGAAATGATGCATGAAGGGCCCGAGTCACAGGCAGTGACGTCATTGTTAGCAGCGGCTGTTCTGTTCTGCACAGTTCCTCCCATTTGTGGCTGACTTTGGCTCTCACACCAGCCCTGGGGCAGTCCCTGCCCACAGGGACCCATGAGCGTGCCCGTGGCCTTGGCTCCTGAAGCAGAAGGGCCTCCCCGGCCTGACCACGGGGCCTCCTGCCCACTTCCCTTCCTGCTTCCCAGCCCAGAGGCCCATTGTTCTCTGCATCTGGTCCAGCCTGAGCTCCTGGCTGGGGAATCCCCCAGCCTCCACCTCCTGTGTCTTGGAGGTTTTAGACTTCTCCCTCTCCCACACCTTCCTCTCCCCTTCCCTCCCTTCCTCCAACTTTCCTCTCCTCTCCTCACTGCTGTTTATGGCAGAGTCCCCTGAATGATACGCCCTTGCTGCCCTCCCCAACACTCCTCCAGGATATTTTAGGGTGTGCCTTGCCTCCCATTCCCCTCCCTGCAGAGGCAAGGCCCAGGAAGGAGGTGAGTGGCAGGCTTGGGTGCTCTTTGAGGTGGCTTGCTGCTTCTCAGTCCCCCCTCAGTCTGCCGTCCGCAGCCTCCTCTCAGGTTTACCCCCTTCTTCGAGGTTGAGTCCGGAGGTTTATAAAGCATTTGAAATAGTGGGAATTAAGGGCTGGCTTCCCCTAGCTTGGTGTTTGCAGCTGAGTCCTTGAGACCAGAGGTACCCTGTTGGGACAAAAGTGACTCCAGTCAGGGCCTGTTGACCTGGAGGCCTGTGGTCATTAGAACAGGGGTGGCTAACGGACCTCCTTAGGCTTAGCCCCACCTCCACTCCCTCCCTTCCCTTGTGCTGGTTCTTCCCCACACCCTCTCCTCTTGCCCCACATTCCCCTTCTGGAGGTTTCCCAACCATCTTCCTGAAGGCTGTGGGCCCCAGCAAGGGAACATTTCCTATGGCAGGGCTCTGGAAACATACAGAATAGTCACCAGATTGGAGACGTCCCACAAGTCACTTAACCTCTCTGGGCCTTAGTTTCCTTCTCTGTAAAGTATGGCTGTAACCCATCTCATGAGCCTGTGGCAAGAATTCAATGAGATGATATACGTAAGGGCTTGGCACAGTGCCGGGTGCAGAGAAAGCTCTCAAGACAGGAGACTGTGTTTTCACCTTGTATCATTTTCCAGGTTTTATGCCTCAGATGCAAATGGTGAGGATGGTCTTGCATTTGTCCCTTCCATTGGAAAGCTCACTTGTCAGGACTCCCTGTGTTTCAATGACCTACATCGCCTCATGCCGCCCTCACATCCATGAAGATCCTGAGAGGAGAGGGTTAGGTAGGTTGTCCAAGACCACACAGATTTGCCCTCCAGAAAGCCCTTCTGGCTGCACTGTGGAAAATGGATTGGAAGGGCATGGAGGAGGCAGAGGGAGGAAGGCCTGTTGGAAGTAAAGCAGAAAAGCCTTGGTGCAGAAACTGGTGCTGAGAATGTTCCCGGAACGCCATCTGGTGGCCAGAGGCAGAGAAAAAGGCACAGAGGCAGAGAGGTGGGTACCAGGAGCTCACGAATATCAACTCCAGACCTGTGTCGCGTGGGACACACAAGATGACAATCATTTGTCTCAGTGGGAAACCTAATGTGACCTAGTGCCTACAGGAAGAATGATGGATTTCATGATTTTATAGGTATTAACATTTATATTCTTGAAAGGACATTGTGCCCTGGCTGGTGTGGCTCAGTGGATTGAAGGCTGGTCTGAGAATCAAAAGGTCTCAGGTTCAATTCTAAGTCCGGGCACATGCCTGGGTTGCGGGCCAGGTACTCAGCTGGGGGCATGTGAGAGGCAACCAATGGATGTTTTTCTCTCTCTCTTTCTCCCTCCTTCCTCCACCCCCACCAAAAATAAATAAATAAAATCTTTTAAAAAGGAAAAAGGACATTGGGTGTGCGCGCGCGTGTGTGTGTGTGTGTGTGTGTGTGTGTTCCATGTGCGCGCATGCACGTCTGTGGCCTTGACAGAGACCACGGATGAAAAAAATGGACTCAGGAGTCATGAGAAAGTTTGAATATGGATTTCACAGGTAGTTTTATTGCTTTTGTTTGTTTTATTAACATTGAGGGCATGAAGCTAAGACAACCCTTGAAGAATCCAAAGCCCGTACCCTGGCCAGGTGAGCGTTGTCCCATACACCAAAAGGTTGTGGGTTTGATCCCTGGTTGGGGAGTGTACGAGGGGTGGCTGATTGATGTCTCTCTCTCTCTCACATCAATGAGCAAGTGAAGATTTTTTTTAAAGATTTAAAAAAAAGAATCTAAAGCCAGCAAACAAGTCCCCAGACTTTTTAAAGGCAATTTCCTCTGGGAATGGGGTCTCTCTAAGAATTTTCTCTCCTCCTTTCTGGCTATAGGGGTCAGTTGATCATTGGCAGCCTCGTGTCAGGGGGTAAATGGAGCTAACACTGGGCTTTGTCTAGAAAGCCTTCATCACCCTGAGCTTTGAAACAACTCAGCATAGCCTCCCGCAAGTTTGAAACTATTTTTTTTAAGGTAGGTTGGGGTTGGTGGTTGGAGGCCCTGCTCACCACCAGACTTGCGGCTGTTCCCACTGAAGTCCTTTGCCATGGAGAGAGGTTCGGGGGTGAAATGGCAGGGGCAGGAGCCGGGGGTCTTTTTAAAAGCACTTGGAGTCCTAAAGGAGCCGCAGGCCAGCTAGAAGGCTCAGAGCATGTCCCGCATCACCCACGTCCTGCTGGGCTGGCCGCCCACCCCAGGGCTCCTCGTGAGTCTGCCCCAGAGCTGCCATCGTCACCACCATCAAGGCAGCTTGATGGTGCTGGGGAGCTTCACCCTCAGGATCATTCCAGGTGGGAAGGGGACTGGAACCCCTAAGGTCTGCCTTATTTGTTTATTTATTTTCAAGATCTTGTTGAAGTTAGAGCAGTCTAGCTAGAAATCTTGACTGCAAGATTCAGGTAGATGTTCAGGGCCATATACTGGTAGCATAGCACTTTGTGTTCTTTGTAGGGACAGATGACAGATGTCTACTCCCATGCAGTGGCACCTCTTTCTGGATTCAGTGCAGAAAGAAGAACTTTGCAGGGAGAAATTTGCCAAGAAATAGGACTTTTCAAGAAATAACAAGGCTTTCTGTCTGAGTTAAGACACAAAGGGAGCCAGATATCAGAATCATTTGGAAAGTCTTTCAAATTACTGGGGACTGGGCAAGAAAATGCACACTTTTCTGTTTCCCAGCCTGCCAAAGAAAGTTTTATAATAGGCAGCTCCATTTTCTCCTCTTTGAAAAGGCTTCATCTCTCAGATCATTTGGGACAGGGTTGGGGAAGGTGGACCTTTTTGTTGGAAATAGAAGTCTAATTGATCTATTTAAAAAAAGGAAAAATAGAGGAGGGAGGGGAATGGTGAAGGTTGAGGACATCACGGAGGGGGTGCACTAGAGAAGAGCAAAGAAGTAGATTGAAGATGAGGACTTTCGAATGGATTGTTGTAAACTAGGAATCTCCTTCGTGGTTTTCAAGAAAAATTCAAGAAAATATGTATAACTTATTTTGTACTTTAGTAACCACAACACAGCCCCCAAACTGGACCACATAAATTCTCAGTTAATGAGGGTTACACATATATTATGTTTCTCTCCCCAGCCAGCAGAGGGGAAGCAGGCTATTTCCAACATACAGATTTCAGTTCTGATGTGCTATAGATCATTCCAACAGGCACCCCGTTTCCACCCCATCCTCACTGAGAGCCACTGATTTAGAACTCGTTAGGAGCATGGGCAACCTTGTAAGGGCCAAACCCTACAGCCCCCGGGCCTTGCTTGCTGAGCGCCACCCCTCCCCTGGGCCTGTGCCGCTGCTCGGCAGAAGCTCGGTGCACACTTGGTTCTCTCTCCAGATTTTTGCAGACCCTTCTGTCCGCTTCCCTGATTCCTCCTTCATTTTTCCTTGATTCTGACTCCCAGGTGTAGGCATGGTCCCCAGACACCGTCCTCAGCCCTCCCTTCTCCATAGGGTA